CCGTCAGCACCGGAGCCTCCTTTCAGGCTTCCCACCGGGAGAGCGGCGCCGCTCTGTGCCCATATTCCCGCAGCCGTTGAAGTGCGAGGCTGCGGCGCGAGGTGCCCGCGGTGTTGTGCCCGGCGCTCCGGCAGCCGCTGCCCGCGAGCCCTGTCCCCGCCAGGGCCGTGACTTGCACGGTCATGGCCGCAGCGCGCCCTGCTCCCGCTCGCAAACCCTCGGCGCCTGCTAAAACCTCCAGAGCAAACAGGGCTGGAAGGCAAAGTGCGTGCTGGCCGGTTGGCGAGAGTCGGTGGAGGCCGGGAGCGACAGCCAGGAACTCGAGTTACATTCTGGCAGGGTTGCACAACGAGCGGGCTCCCGTGGCTGCTGAGAGTGCCCGGGCAGGAACTGGGGTGCTCGGCGAGTGGGGCTGCACCCCAGATCCCCTTGCAGAGCAGTGCGTTTCGCAGCACGGGGCTGCCTGCCGAGTGCCAGGCCCCACTACAGGGAGAACTTCAAGGGTTTCTCACCAGAGGCATCCCAGCTTTCTATAAGCTGATGCAGGAAGCATTTTCCTGCAAAGGGGCTCTGCTGGGRAGCTGGAGAGACGCTTTGGAGGAGSCAGCTTRTTGGTGCARTGAGCTCAGAGGACTGTCAAGCCCTTGAGGAGGGAAGGAYGTAGTTGGGGAGCAGTCTTGCCATGTTGAACTGCCACTTCCTGACAGGGCTGTGCCTGCAGGATGGGGATAAGAGCAGGGAAGGACACACGGGCACTGACAGGGCTCTTCTGGATCAGCATTATAACGTTATTCCTTCTAGTTCACCCATAGCAGCTCCAGGTGTGCACTTGCCCCTTCAGAAAGGACCCTGCCTGCCGTGTAATGCTCTTGCTTCCCRACTGCTGTTTTAGACAAGGTTGTGGCACTTGCTCCTCTCCCTGCATGTGCCGCACTTGCCTGGAGGTCAGTGCCTCAGCTGGTTTGGGAATTGTTAATAAAATCAAGGGGGACAAGACCTTCTGTGCCGGGATCCTCATAAAACGAGGCTGGAGACCTGGGAGCTGCGGGTGTCAGTCTGCAGAGTGCCTTGCTGGGAGGACAGCAGGATGGACCCCATAGTGTGGGGCCTCTCAAAGCTCTTGTGCTTCCTGAGCCCAAGAGGGACTCCTGCCCCATCCCTGCAGTGCTTAAATAGGCAAAATGCCCCCGTGGAAGCTGTTGGGAGCAGATCACGCGGAGGCCTCACTGGGCGCCGCTTCCTGCCCCCTTGCTGCTCAGATGGAGTAGGCTGAGTGGTGTAGACACATGGGGAGGAACTATTGAGCAGCTCGGTGGGTTGAGGGCATTGATCTTGATGAAAGTCCCACCGTATCCRGGTGTTGCTCTAGATCCCTTCTTGGAGAGGATGAGGCATTGGAGGGCTTCTGGAGTAACCTCTTTGGGAGGTAACCTCTTCYAGAGGTGTTGCTGAATCCCTTGGTGGGCTTTGCTGTTTCCCAGGGTGCAGTTTGGTAAATGCCAGTTCACTGACAGCTGTTACATTGAGGAAAACGCTGCAGATTGTGTTGTAACCTCTAAACCACAACCCGTGATGGAGAGGGCAGCGTCTTGTAGACCCTGTTGACTTGCACAAGGCGTGAGCAACCAGAGGGACGGTCACGCTCCTTTCCAGAATTTCTTGGGTGGCAGAACAAAGCCTGGGGCTCGGAGGCTGCAGCGAGTATCTGTTTACAATAAACTTGCTGCTGACATCAATGATTAAAGACCGATGGCTGCCTCGTCTTGTCTGGCTTGGGGAAAACCTCGCTGTCATTAAAACAGTTCTTGTATCTGCCTCAATGCGGCCACTGCGAGGCCGGCGGATCCCGGCGCCGCTCGGCCTTGGACAAACAGTCCTCAGCTCAACTTCCTGGTCTTCTGCTGAACTTTGTGCTCGCCGCCTGCTGACGGAAAGCGCTTGTCATGGGAGGCTGCTGTTCTCCAGAAAGCTCCTGTCAAGCCCTCGGGCCAGGATGACTCCTGTTCTTGCAGGAGGCCGTGCAGAC